AGCCTCCAGACTGCACCACGGGGATGGTGACCGCCCTTGATTGATCTACCATCGGGAATGTGAACACCCAACTGCACACGGGGTGGCTGACCCCAGACTGCTCCCACGGGGGAGGTGACTCCCTATTACTGCACCACGGGGTGGGTGACCCCCAACTGCACCACGGAAGATGGTGTTCCCTCAGACTACACCACGCGTAGGATGGTGAACCCTAATCTGCACCATGTGGGCATGACTCCCCAGACTGACCACGGAGGTGGTGACCTTCCCTAGTGCACCACGGGGGTGGTGACTGCCCCAGACTTGCAACCAACGGGGGTAGTTGACCCTTAGACTGCATCCACCGGCGGGGTGGTGACCCCCAAGACTAATAGCACCAACGGGGGTGGATGACCCTCAACTGCACTACGGTGGATGGTTGAGCATCCAAACGGCACCATACGATGGATGGCGACCCCCAGAAGACTGCATCCACGGGATGTGGTGACCCCCAGACTGCACCATGAGGGGGGGAAACCCCCCAGACTGCACCTACGGGGTGGGACACTCCAGAGGTACCATAGGGGTGGGTGACGCCCCAGACTACACCACGAGAGGGTTGGTGACTCCTCCCATACTGCATCCACTGAAGGTGGTGATCCCAGACTGCATACCACGGGGGAGATGGAGTGACACCGACCAGTACTGCACCACGGAAGTGGTGACCCCCCAAACTGGCACACGGGGGTGGTATGACTCCCCAGACTGCACCACGGTGGAGGTGACTCCCAGCCACCTCGGGGTGGTGACGCACAACCGTGGGTGGTGAACCAGACTAGCGCCACGAGGGTGGTGACCCAGTACTGCTCACTTCACGGGGGCGGTGACCCAGACTGCCACCATGGGGGTTGGTGACCCCCATACTGGTTATTACTGCGCGCGCGAGAGAGAGGGTGAGTGAACCCTAAGGCCTCCCCAGCCCCACCATCGGTGGGATGGTTACCCCCTTTGCAAACCACGGGAGAGGTGCGTCACCACCAACCAACCACGGGGTGTTTTCTTGGCCTCCACGATCACTCACGGTGTGTGGTGAACACCCTAGACCACCACTGCGGGGTGGGAACCCCCACACCGACCTACGTAGGTGGTGACCCCGTCAGACCACGCACGGAGGGTTTTGACCCCACACCACCATAGGGGAAGGTTGACCCCCCCCCCCGCCCCTAAGGCTCTACCACGGGGTGACCCCCAATCACCACAGGGATAATCCTCCCCACTCCATTCACGTGTGGGTGGTGACACCCCACACCACCGTACGGAGGTTGGTGACCCCCAGACCACAACGAGGGTTGTACCCACACATCCACCACGGTGGTCGGTGACTCCCCAGACCATCCACGGGGGTGGAGTCACCTCCCTCTATCACCCCTCACGGTGGGATTGAGAACCGCCAGACTAACCACGGGGTTTTTGGACCCCACACCACTCACGGTGGGTGGTGATACCCAAGACCACTACGGGGATGAACCTCACACCACCTCTCACGGTTGGGTGGTTGACCTTCCCCCATCCACCATCCAAGGGGATGTGACCCCCTTAGACCACCAATGTGGATGGTGGGACCCCACAGACCACCACGGGGGTGTATTGACCCCCAGAGTGCAGCAGCTGGTGTGGGCAGGAACCCCCCGACTGCGCCATGGTGATGGTGTCTCTCCAGACTTGCGCACGGAAGTGGTGGACCCCCAAGAGCTGCACTCTAAGGGGTGGTGACCCCAAGACTGCACCAAGGTAGGATGGTGACTTCCCAGACACACGGGGTTGGTGGACGCACCACCCGTGGGTTGGTGACCATACTGCAACCACGGGGTGGTGACCCAGAATCCTGCGCACCATGGGGTGGAGGTGACCCCTCATACTGCGCCATGGGGGTGTTGACCCTTCCTATCCTGCAACATGGGGGTGTGACCCCGCAGACCACCACGTTGGGTGTTTGACCCCCATTCCACCAAAGAATGGGTGCGACCACCAGACCACCTACGGGGTTATGACCTCCCACACCACGGTGGGTGGTAACCCCCACATAGAACTCAACACGAGGTAGGTGGAGACTCTCCTCCAATTCACCTTACGGGAGTTTTGACTACCCACACCACCTACGGGGGTGGTGACCCCTACACACACCACGGTTTGGTCTTTGATGGCCTCTCTCCCAGACCACACGATCGGCGAGGGGAGGATACCCCCACTCTCACACCATGGAGGGGTCAGGTGTGACCCTAACAACCACGGGGGTTTTTGTACCCCATCAATTCCACCTTACGTGGGGTGGATAGACCCGAAGACAACTACGGGGACGAACCTCCACACACCACGTGGAGTGGTGACCACATCCCCACGACAACCACGGTGTTGGTGAACCTTTTACCCAGACCACTCACGGGGGTTGGTGACTTTCCCCACCCATCCACGGTGGATGGTGACCTCCAGACCCACCACGGGGGTGCGACCCCCAACATTTTACCACTCACGGAGTGGGTGGATGATCCCCACGTCGACACAAAGCGGGTTGTGACCTCCCACACCACCAGGGGTGGTGACCCCCACATCACCACGGTTGGGTGGTGAACCCTCATGACAATAATAATAATAATAATAATAATAATAATAATAATAATAATAATAATAACAATAAATAATAATAATAATATAATAATAATAAAATAATAATAATGACAATAATAATAATAATAATAATAATAATAATATAATAATAATAATAATAATAATAATAATAATAATAAAAATAATATAAAATAATAATATAATAATAAATAATAATAATAATATAATAATAATAATAATAATAATAATAATAATAATAATAATAATAATAATAATAATAATTATTAAGGTCCTCCAGACAACCTACACATTCATAAAGGTCAGTGGAAGAATATCTGAACTTTATACTTTAAAAAAATCGTTTTGGAAAGACATGTTGGCAAACACTAGGACATATTTATTAGAAAACGTTTGTGAAGTGATCAAGATCCCAGGGCCGGAACGTTTTTCTAATATATCCTAGTGTTTGCTCACGTGTCTTTCTAAATCAATTTCTCGGTATCTGTTATAAAGGTTTATACCAAAAAATTTAGTTTTTTTTTTTTCTTACCGAAAAATATTACATAATTCTGACAACATATTCGGATACGATGTTTCGCCATTTTCAAACACTACATCAAGGAACGGGTGGGGATTGAACCTATGACAAGTGAATCCTAAAACTTACAGGTCAGTGTGTTACACTTGGCCAGCTGATTCTATAAGAGTCATCCAATTTGGTACAGTTCTATGCACCATAGGGAGGTTAGCACGGCCACCACTGTGACGCAAATGAGGGTTTCTATGATGAATCCCAAACCAGCGTGGCAGTGTCGTACTCTAGCTCAAGTCTCCTCAAGCACTGTGTTATAAGAGAAAGCTAACGTGGAGTTGTCGAGTACCTGTGTTTCCTGACTGCAGGAGCATCTCTCAAGCATCCTTGATGACTATATATGTATCTCTCAATATCACTCAACAGTGAGTGAAACATTGCATCAATAAAGAACTACTACACTATAATTATTAATAATGGTAGAATTACTGACAATATATTAGGTAAAAGGACACAGATGCAACTACTGTGACATTTTATCGTGGCAACGTTTCGTTCTTTGTCAAGCCATAACAGCTGGAGAGTGCAACGTTGCCACAAAATGTCACATTAGTTACAGATGTGTCCTTTCACCGACACTACCATTAGTTCCCTAGTCACCATAATTTATAGTGTTTTGCTCTGATGCGTAAAGAATATGGTCTGACACCTCACCTCTCATCTAACATTCAATAACATGTATTATGAAGACATTCTGACATGCTGTTCAATTTCAGATCAACTCTTCTCAATTGCATTTCCCTAAAAAAATCAAGGTTATATAGAATAAATTAATAAGAGAGCCTAGTGTATGTCACCTGAACAGGTGACATACACTAGTATATACAAGTATATATCTGTACTACTTGTACAGATATATACTTGTATATATAGTTATATATACAGTACTTGTAACAAGAGAGGTGTGGAAATATTGCAGTATATTGTATTTTGTTTAGTATTTTATTATAATAAATGACGAGCGAAACGTGTTGACAACCTACTGGTAGTCACCAAGGCGTTGTGATTTACAGATTTTTTTCGCACCAAGGATGACGGTGCCGCATGACTAAGTGACGTTACTGTATATGATTCACAGAAACTCAAAAGGTGATTACTTATATTTTCTGATAACGACTAGTGACTTTCTCAACTTTAATATGGACAATATTATTTATGAAAACAGTAATTTAATGTAGTAAGTCTAGTTTAGCACACAGTAACAGTGAAAATCACGCAATTTGAGGACGAGCACTATCAAATATGACTTGAATTCTAGCAAAGCTTTGCAGAAATCCGCACATTACGATTTTATATACTTTTATTTACAGAATATGCCCACTAAAAAAATAAAAAAAAATACACTCAGACATAAAACTTGCTTAAAATGCTTATTTAAATTTCAATGCAGCAATGTGGTATGACTCACGATGGCTACATCATCATGGGAACAGGAATGTTAGCAGCAAATGAGATTCAATATGGTTTAGGTTGCTTGGGTACTAATCTAAATACGAATAGTAAGCTCTCCCATAACGCTCATATATAAAGTGCAATTTTTAATAAAAGATTTGAAAAGAGTACATCCAAAATTGAACAGCGCATGGAAACACCTTCATGGAAATTGCTACTCAATATTCCATGCACCTGTTTACTACCGTGATTACGAAAAAATTGTATCGTAGAGAGGAGCTTTATAAGACAGCTGACAGCATACAGTTTTAAAATTTATATTAATTTGCGTTTGCTTTAGTAAGAAACTATATTAAAGATAAGAACGACATCTATACTAATGTAGTAGTTGACCTTGATAAGATAGTGTTATTTAATCTGTGCTGCCTGAAAAAAATATGAGAATAAACATGAAGAGGTTAACTACGTCCAGGTATAAATTGAGTGTGGCAAACACGTATTCTCCAGATGTGAAGGCCAGCATGTGTCTGCCTCTTAGGATGAGCTGAGTGTCGATTACTAAATACAGTGAGAAAAATAGAGCTCCCAGGGAAGCATATAGCAGTCTCAGCACCCTGCTCCTGAAGATTACCGCAAAAATGGAAAACGTGAGGAGACAGACAAACAGCACTAACAGATGCCCGGCTAATACAGTGAAGTCCCATTTGGTCTGTTTGGGTGAAAAAGGTTAAACTTAGAAGATGAATTGTGGTATAGAGTCTTACATGTGAAGTATAATGAGCACTTGTAAATGCTCAATAATAACCCATATGGATCTCTTCTGGGATCTTCTTCATCCGATGAAGAGGATCGAAATATACAGATGAATTAATCTTCTGAGTTTCTGTCTCCATGTGAGTTATCACTGAGCATTGTCTTACATGATAAATATATTACGTGATTACGTTAAATCTCAAGGAAAAGATAGTGATGTGAAAAAAAAAATGTTAATACAGGACCTCCATACAAAGTGACTGCGATGGAAAAGGACACTTATTTACATTTTTGGATATTAATTAGAGACGTTATGTCCAGGACTGATGAAACCACTCGTGGCGAAACACTGTCTTCAATAAGTATCCAAAATTGTGGACAAGTGTCTTTCCAATAGTTTACGGGTATGAAGATACCCCAGCCAGGCGCTGTAACTCTTACTGGTTTAATGTGGGAAATTGGGTAAGGGAGATTTTCCTGGAGATAATAGGTATAAAATACAGACACGATGGAAAAATAAACACAGCTGCAGTATAATACTTTCCTTTATTGACTACGTTTCGCCCACACAGTGGGCTTTATCAAGTCACAAACAGATTTATCTGGGTAACGAGTACGTTACTCGCTGTTGGGTGAGAGGTAAGTCAATAAAGGATCCCATTATAATATGCATTTGTGTTGATTTTTCATGTTGACCGAAATCCATTTGCATAATCTTTTCCAACATGTAAAGTACATTATCTTTGTACAGCATAAAATAAATATAAAACTGACAACAACGAACCTGGAAGGCAAATATGGTGAGCGCCAAAGTCACTGCAATAGTGATACCAATGGCTGCTGCCACCTCCGTGGCCTCGTAGTATGCAGCGATACAACCCAGCAGAATCCCTGGCAGATGGTGAAGCTGACCAAAGCGATGTAGCTGTAAGGAGTCTTCCTCTTCAGGTCACCACAGCAAAGAAGGATGAGGAGCCAGGCAAACATGAGGCCGAAGGCAGACCAAAACACTGCTGTGTTCGTCTTGGCAAATGTTTTTACCTCCGGCACCCAGATGAAGATGGCGACAATGCCGAAGGTGATGACCAGTTGAGCAGAAAGTAAACCATACACCTTCCTGAAGAGAATTTCCATTATTATTGCTGTTATTTTTATCATTATTAAAGGGCTCTTGACCTAAGGAAGGTGAGCTATCTTCCCTTCTTCAGATCAAACTTCATTACCTCATAATACATAGGCACTGTACGACTCTTATTGGTTAAATATGGGAAATTGGGTGACTTTCTTTTGTGCCTAATAATGTTTTCTTACAGGTAAACTACAATATCATCGTAGAGCATGAAATAATGACAGCCTATCATGGGAACAAGAAATTGCTGACTTTGTCTATCTATAAGTGAGACTCGTCACCCCACAGTAACCAACCACAACACCCCCTGTATACCTTGTCCCCCCATACTAGCCTTGCGACCCCTAGTACTAGCCTTTCTGACCCCCTATACTACCTTGCCCACCCCCCAGTACTGCCTTGCTGAAACCCCCCCCAAAAATCCTTGCTGACCCCTAGCTACCTTTCTGACCCCCAGTACTAGCCTTGCCGACCCCCTTATACCTTTCTGCCCCCTAGTAAAAGCCTTGTGACCCCCCCATACAGCCTTGTGACCCCTAGTATGCCTTGCTGACCCCCCAGTATGCCTTGCTGCCCCCCCGACTGCCTTGCTGACCCCCTAGTACACCTTTTCTACCCCCTATATACCTTGTGCCTCACAGAAATTTTGAAAACAGTGTTTTGACACACCTGCCGACCCCTTTTAGTCACATGTTAGTGGGGGGACACACTTCCAGTACATGTTGTGGGGGAGACACACTTCAGTCACATGTTAGTCGTGGAAGATACTCTTCAGCCCAAAAGTTTTGGGGGAGCACTACTTTTAGTCCATGTTGGGTGGGGGACACTACTTTAAATCAATGTTAGGGTGGAGAAACTACTTCTCACTGTTAGTGGTGGGAGACCTACTTCGTCACATGTTTGTGGGGGAGGGAAATATTCCCCGTACTGAGTGGGGAGACACTACTTCAGTCAATGTTTTTGGTGGGAGACACTATTCATTCAATGTTAGTGGTGGGAGACCTACTTCTCACATGTTAGTGGGGGGAGACACTGCTTTAGTCAATGTTAGTGGTGGGAGACCTATTCAGTCACATGTTTTGTGGTGGAGACACACTTCACAGTCCAGTTAGTGGGGGGAGACACTATCAGTCATATGTTTGGTGGGAAGGACACTACTTCAGTCACATTTAGGGGGGAGACATACTTCAGTCACAGTTTTGGGGGGAACAATGCTTCAGTCACAGTTGTGGTGGGAGACCTACTTTTAGTCACTGTAGTGGTGGGGACCTACTTCACCGTAATGTTAGTGGTGGGGGGGAACACTATTCAGTCTTGTTAGTGGTGGGGAGACACTACTTCATTCACTTTAGTGGTGGGAAACTACTTTAGTCACGTTATGGGGGGACACTACTTCAGTCACATGTTAGTGGGGGGAGACATGCCATACAGTTATGGTGGGAGACCCACTTCAGTCACTGTTTGTGGGGGAGCACTACTTCTCACATGTTAGGGGGGGACACACTCCCCCCACATGTTAGTGGTGGGAGAACCCACTTCAGTCACATGTTAGTGGGGGGGGACATACTTTTAGTCATATTTAGTAGTGGGGACATATTCACAGTCAAATGTTTGTGGGGGAACCTACTTCATCACATGTTAGTGGTGGGAGACAACTTCACATTTACATGTTGGGGGGGACACTACTTCACATCACATTTAGTGGTGGGAGAAACACTTCAGTACATTTTGTGGGGGAACACTTTTCAGCACAGTTGTGGTGGGGGACACTATTTGTCACATGTTTGGGTGGGAGACTCCCTTTTGTCTATGTTAATGGGGGGACACTACTTCAGCAATGTTTGGGGGGGACATTTCAGACATTTGTGGGGGGAGCACTACTTCGTCAATGTTAGGGGGGGGGGGGCATACTTCATCAAATGTTTGTGGTGGGAAACACTACTTCAGTCAATTTTGTGGGGGGAACACTATTCATCAAGTTAGTGGTGGGAGACCCCTAATTCAGTCACATGTTAAAATGGGGGAGCATACTTTAGTCAATGTTTGTGGTGGGAGACCTACTTCATCCTGTTATGGGGGAACACTACTTCAGTCACTGTTAGTGGGGGAGAACAACTAAGCTTTTTTATGGTGGAGAAATTCTCACAAAAGTTAGTGGGGGAGACACTACCGTCAATGTTAAATGGGGGGGAGATACACTTAACGTCACATTTTATTTGGGGGGAGGGCAAAAACTTCACATATGTTAGGGTGGGGACACTCTTCACAGTCATATGTTAGTGGGGGAGACACGCTTCAGTCAAAAGTTTAAGGTGGGAGAATATTCAGTCCTGTTTTTTGGTGGGAAACTACTTCATCAAAGTTAGTGGTGGGGGACACTACTTCGTCACATGTTATGGGGGGGAGACATACTTCAGTCACTGTTTAAAAGGGGAGACATACTTCGTCACAAAGTAGTGGTGGGGGGCACATTCACAGTCATATGTTAGGGGTGGGGGGAAAAACTATACATCACTTTTTGTGGTGGGAGACATACTTTAGTCCATGTTAGTGGGGGGAGAATACTTCACAGACAATGTTAGTGGGGGAGACCTACTTCAGTACATTTTGTGGTGGGGGGACAAATACTTTCACACTGTTTGGTGGGAACACTCTTCAGTCACATGTTTTGTGATGGGAGACACAATTCATCACATGTTAGTGGTGGGAAAAACTATTCAGCCCCCCCCAAAGTTTGTGATGGGAGAAAATACTTCAGTCACTGTTAGTGGTGGGGGACACTACTTCACAGTCATTGTTAGTGGTGGAAAACTACTTCAGTCACATTTAGGGTGGGAGACCCCAAACTTTAGTATATGTTAGTGGTGGGAGACACTATTCAGTCACATGTGAGTGGTGGGGGGACACTACTTCACGTAAATTTTTAGTGGTGGGGACACTAAATTCGTCAATGTTAGTGGTGGGAAAAAACTCTTCAGTCATATGTTTGTGGGGGGGAGCACTATTCGCACATGTTGTGGGGGGAGACACTAATTCAGTCACATGTTTGTGGTGGAGCACAAATTCATCCATGTTTAGTGGGGGACTTACTTCAGTTATGTTGTAGTGGGAAAATTTCAGTACTGTTGTGGGGGGGACACTAATTCAGTCAATGTAGTGGTGGGAGACACTACTTCAGTCAATGTTATGGGGGGGACTTTTTTTTAGTCATATGTTAGTGGTGGGAGACACTCTTCAGTCCCCTGTTAGTGGGGGAGCCTCTTTAAGTCATATGTTAGTGGTGGGGACACTCTTCAGTCATATGTTAGTGTGGGAGACCTACTTCCGTATATGTTAGTGGTGGGAGACATGCTTCAGCACATGTAGGGGGGAGACACGTTCAGTCATATGTTAGTGGTGGGGGGGGGGGGAAAACTTCGTCACTGAGTGGGGGGGAGACTACTTCTCATTTTTTAGTGGTGGGAGACACTCTTCAGTCATATGTTAGTGGTGGGAGACATACTCAGTACATTTAGGGTGGGGACCCTACTTCAGTACATGTTTGTGGTGGGGCCACTACTTCAGTACATGTTAGGTGGGGGAAAATACTTTTCCCCCAAAGTTAGGGTGGGAGACTTTTCATCACATTTAGTGGTGGGGGACTCTACTTCAGTCATATGTTGTGGGGGGAGACCTACTTCAGTCACATTTAGTGGTGGGGGACATACTTCAGTATATGTTAGTGGTGGGAGACACTCTTCGTACTGTTATTTTGGGGGGAGACCTATCAATCACTGTTAGTGGGGGGAACTTACTTAGTCATATGTTAGTGGTGGGAGACACTACTTCAGTCACATGTTAGTGGTGGGAGACACTACTTCAGTCACATGTTAGTGGTGGGAGACACTACTTCAGTCATATGTTAGTGGTGGGGGGCTCTACTTCAGTCATTGTTAGGGTGGGGGAACACTTCAGTCACGTTTTGGGTGGGAGACCTATTCAGCACATGTTGTGGGGGGAGACAACTTCGCACATGTTTTTGGTGGGAGACTTACTTGTCATATGTTAGTGGTGGGAGACACTACTTCAGTCATATGTTAGTGGTGGGAGACACTACTTCAGTCATATGTTAGTGGTGGGAGACACTACTTCAGTCATATGTTAGTGGTGGGAGACACTACTTCAGTCATATGTTAGTGGTGGGAGACACTACTTCACAGTCATATGTTTTTGTGGGGGGGACACTACTTCAGTCATATGTTGTGGGGGGGACACTACTTCAGTCAATGTTAGTGGTGGGAGACCTCTTCATTATGTAGTGGTGGGAGACATACTTCACGTCACTGTTAGTGGTGGGAACACATTCACAGTCACTGTTGTGGTGGGAGAAAAATACTTCTTTATTGTTTTGGTGGGGACATACTTCAGTTATGTTTTTGGGGGGAGCACACTTTAGTCACATTTGGGTGGGGGACACACTTCACAGTCACATTTTTGGGTGGGAGACACTCTTCAGTCTAGTTAGTGGTGGGAGACACTACTTCATTTCCCCTTTTAGTGGGGGGAAAAACTACTTGTCACATTTAGTGGTGGGGGACATACTTACAGTACATGTTAGTGTGGGGGACCTACTTCGTAATGTAGTGGGGGGAAACACTATTCAGTCACATTTTTGGGGGGGGAGCACTATTCCATCAAAGTTAGTGGGGAGACACTACTTCACAGTCACATTTAGTGGTGGGAGACACTATTCAGTCACATGTTTTGTGGGGGAACACTACTTCCCAGCACATTTAGGGTGGGGACCTCTTCAGTCACATGTTGTGGTGGGGGAACACTAATTCATCACATGTTAGTGGTGGGAGAACTACTTTAGTCCCCGTTTTTGTGGGGAAACACTATTCTCACATGTTAGTGGGGGGAGACAATACTTCATCACTGTTATGGTGGGAACACTATTCATACATGTTTGGGGGGAGACCTACTTCGTCATATTTAGTGGGGGGAGA